TCCCCCCCCCCTCCCCCAATCAAATCCTCTCCCACACGCTCCTGTAGGTACCACAAATAAATTGTTTTTAGTTACATTTCACCAATTTGATCTTTACTTCTCTTCTTTGAATTGTGAATAGTGTATAAGCAGGATAGATACCTACTTTCGTGAAGGAGACTTTTTGTCATATTTTTCTTCAAAATATTATCAATGTATAATGTACATTACCAATATTTATAATATATATACAAAATAGCATGATATTCTTTACTGAGTACCACTATTAAATAAATAAAAATTAAAAATAATAAAAATAGTAAAATTACTGACTTAGAATTAAAAATGTGTCACTATAAGATAGGTAGGTTAAGAATTTGAACTGATCCATTTCATTACATTATACAAAACATCGTGCTGTATGCCTGTATCCCACAGTTAAAAGACAAAAGAAGTTTTAAAAATGCTGTTAAATTATTATGAAGGATAGCTTCCTTTAATTATTTCTGTGGTATGATTTTAACTGTCCTAAATTTATAAAAAGATATGCCCTATATTTTACTGTATAATATATCAATTTAAATATTAATTTTTTTTTCTGTGGAATTTTTATGCATGTATCCTTGCTGCAAAACCGCATTCGTCGAGAGATTAATATCATACTATAATATTTTGAAAACTAGCGAAAGGTCGTCGTTATTACCAGGAACTATTAAAAAATTCACTTTATATTAAATTAAAAATATGTAGTCTTTCCGATGTTGATCCTCACCCAGTTGATTTGATATGGCTTTTTAACAATAAAAGGTATTAAGTTCATCCATTTGCCTTACAACAACAGTGATATGAAAGTGTTTAGCAAGTCTAAGCAAAATAACTCATGAGGCTGAGTAATAAATATATCAATTAAATTTTAAATAATATGCGATATCATACATAAAGTAAAGTACCTACCTATTTTTTAAATGTTGATAGTGTCATTTGATTTTAGATTTATACTTCATAAGTATATTTTTTTAAGTTTGTATAAAATAAAAATTGATTAGTAGTTAGTACCTAGTTACCAAACAATGATGTGTTATCTGATTTTTAAATATAAATTATTACTAAAAACATTGTTGATATTTTTTCAAAAATTACAAATATATGGAAGTTGTGCAAAGGGGAGAGAGGTGAGGGGAGGAGGCTTGTAAATGAAATGGGTTGAAAATTTTTTTTGAAAATTAGGGGCTGCAACGAGCTTTAATTTTAGATCTTATAAAATATTACGCTAATGTATATAATATAATATGAACTAAGGTTATAACTTATAACACAGACGACAGACCAAATGAAGATAGTTATAACTATTTTGAGTTTTCATATAGGTGGTCTGTGGTTAAACTGACTCTGCTCCTAGGTATAATTATGTCAAGGAAAACAGTTAAGCTTGTAGTGGATTATTCTTTCTCTTAATAGTCTCTTGAAATTAACTACGTAAATAATTTATAGTATTTTGATAATGATAAAAAGCTAGATATTTTATGAAGTCTATACCTAAACCTAACTGTATATTCTACAGAATTTAAGCCAATTTGCAAATTATAAATTTTAATTGTGTTTTGCATTTACTGCGTGGACTATGGGTGGGCACCTACTGTCTCCGTCTGTGTTATTTTCTAAGTGGCTACTTATTACTATTTATTTTATATTTTATTCAGTGGAAATGCAAAATTATATTTAGTATGATATATGGATGTATGATACTATGATGAACTGAAGACTTAAAGTTCAATTATGTAAAATTAATATAAAACACGTACATTACAACATTAATAATTTACATTTGAGATACCGGTAACTTATTTGGATAATTTTTTTAACGTTTTTATTTACTATAAAAGTATATTTGCCTCATCCTCATTATAGTTAGGTAGTACGAAAATAAATTAGTTAACATATCAAACTAGATTTCTACACATGTAAATTTGAAACCAATATTAATTTCTAAGAATGTGGGTAGTTGTGTATGATGAATGATGACCTAACCTCGAGTGTGTGTACTTCGTTAGGTGAAGCTAGTCAGTAGACCACTGAAATGAATATGTTAAATTAAAAATCAATAACAAAAATCATTGCATACGAAAAACGATTTTGAAGGTAGGCTGTCTGTTAGCAGCTATTATCATAACTATATTGCTAATAATTATCATAGTAATTTATTTTACTATTTATAGTAGTAAGGTACCTATATCTAAAATATATGTAGGTACCTAATTAGGTAATAGCATAAATGAATCAAACGTTGAAAATGTTATTGTGTGTATAAAAACATAATAATATTATTCGTAAAAGTCTTAAATTCCCAAGAAAAATACTTATGAATTACAAAGTACAAACAAATAACTACATTTGTTATTCTTTGTTTAAATACGTACTTATCGAACTTTGTCCAAATTTAAAATACAAATGCTTATAAAATGAAATTAAGTTTAAATTTTTTTAGAATTTTAGGTTTTAGTGTAAACTACTTGTGAGGAATTTTGTATTTAAACTGACCATTAGTGAATGATTTTCTTTTCGACTTTTATAGAAAATAAATCGAAAATGTCAAATACCTACAAATAGCTCAAAAAGCTAATCAACATATTGAAAAAATGTGAAAAATTCTGATAGAAACATTAATTGATGAACATTTAAAGAATCTACAGTTATTCGTTTTTGAGTTAAGCAAAAAAAAAACAAAAACGATTTTGCATGTGTACAAAAACTAAATTTATAATTTGTTTTTCAAGATTATTTTGAAAAGTACTGGAAATTTCCAATTTTGATCACTTAATTCATTATTGTACCAATTAGATCCAACAATTTTTTAACAGAAAACCACCAAAGCAGGGACATAAATTTGAGGTGTTGCAGAGTATGCTTTGCATAGGTACCTAAAATTTATTAAGATTGCATTTTGGTCTGATTATAATTTTTCTGCGCCAGTCAAAAGTTTTTTTTAGATTTTTTTAATTGGTCTAAGGACTAATGGTGGACTACTTCGACAACTATGGTCTATGGCCATGTGATGTTTATATGTTATTTAAATGAAATATAAATATGTTTGGCTTTAAATTTTTTATAAGTGATATTGAGGATTTCAGGATTTGTTTTTTATTTAATATTTTTAGGTACCTATAATAAATGTCCAAAAATATTTAAATTAAAAAAAATTAAGCAAAAACTCTGTATTATTAGATAGGTATACAATAGTCAAAATATATTATAATGTTAGATCGGAAATATAAAAATTTAAATTTTTTTGTAATAACTCTTAACTCTATACTACAATATGATGGCATAATTGTTTGGCCTGCCTGGTTATTAGTTGCATTATACTAGTCAAAAAGTTAAAAAGTCGCCTCTGTCCCAAAATTAAAAATTGAAACACTTTTTCTATAACTTTTCGTAAAGATAAGTACAACCACAAATAAACACCTATTTTTACAATTTAATGCTAACGAGACCAAGTCATATAGGTACCGCCGTAATCTTTAGTAAATTGTGTCGTGATCTAAGTTAATCCTCTATAACTTAACAATACTAGGCTTAAAGTGACTAATGAATATTGGATGGCTCCTCCACCACACAATCCCAATAATATTTGTATTCACTACCTCACATATAGGTGCTAAGTACTTAGTGTGCTTTTTGTGTAAATTATATATCTACTATTTATTAAAATTAAAAATATATATACTTAAACTTATTCAATTTCAGAAGCTCTACATCAGGGTTAGTGAATACTGTACAATTTTACAAGATGAAATAAAGTTTCCTCAAGTAATACAACTTTACTTAAAACATTCTAAATCTCCACCACGACTATAATCATCATCTGCAGTAAACGCATAAAATATTTTATGTACTTTAATATAAAATTGTTTTTCGTTTGTTTCATGTTTGTAAAAAAGATTGTTTTTCTTTTTAAATTGTATATTTTATATAACAGTATCTGCCTAGATAGATGAGGTCGATATTGGATTAATGGATATTAATACACACTATTTTATATCATTAACATATTTTATTCATTTGTTATGAATCAAAAAAATATAAGGAGCCTCTTCAACAGTTGTCTGCCGTCTGGTTAGGGTCAGGTAAGTAGGTATTTACAATGAATAGGGGTAGGTAGCATATGCATAGGTATGCAATGTTTGGCTATTTCAAATATTAAAACATTATATACATTTTATTGGCTAGTAAAATCCAAATAAAACCTTCAAAGAAGTCATGTGGTAGCAGTCTTTAAATTCCTTAAAAAACGGTCTCTTGGACTTTTGAGTATATCTCATTAATTTAGAAATTCGAAGTCAGATGACAGAAATTCATATGAATGCATAATTAAAACATAAAAGTCACTTTGCGTGTGTAGATATTTTACTTCAACACAGGAACCTGTGACAGTGAGACACATTGGGGACAAGATCACCCATAGAAGTGGGTGCTGGTGAAGTGCTGTGCTCCCTAATTACATTAACTTATTGTTGTTTTTAAAAAAATAACTTACTTTTTTACATTTGTAAGATAAAATCTAGTCTCCCTTGGCTCAGTAACTGAGTAAATTTAAGGTGCATGTTAATATAATTAAATATAATCTCAGTGAATAAATTATTCATAAATTGCATACTATTACCTATTTAATTAATAGAATATAAAATATTATAATCCACAAATCAAGTTTGTTACCAAAATTTTTTTTAAACTATAATAATAAGAGTATCACCAAAATCATTACTTTACCTCATTATGGCATTTGGAATTTAAATTGGCAATAAAAAAAACCTACTACTGTGGACAATAAAATATATTTACCTACTATTTAAACCCATTAGTTCAGAATAGTTGATTCTTAAAAGCAGGATAATTATTTATTAGTTTGATCATGAGTGAAAATAATACTGGCCCATAGCATCTTAGATACATACTAAAAGCAATAAAATCAGTTGATTATGTTTCTGTACTTACAATTCACACACAAAATTAAATAAACATTTTTACCTTAAAAAAATATATTTGATGGTATACAATTTTGAAATAGAAAATATTTAATACAGCATTTAACTAACTTATTTTAGGACACATAAACAACTTTAAAAAAGGTATAGTTGAGTAACCAATGTACATACAAATTTAAGACAAAAAAAAATAGTATTATAAGTGTACAAAACTTCTTTTTTAGAAGGAATTAATTGTATAATAAATTATAAATCAACACTGTACATACTATAATATACTTTACAATATATCATTATTAACTTTTTTTTAAATATAAATTAGGTACACTTAATTTTGTATTCGTTATCTTCAACTTAACTTCTCTGTTTTATACTGCTTTAATAGCTTTTTCAACAAAGCATAATCTGGCTTTTCAGCTGGTTCCAGATTATATATCAAACGCATGGTTTCAAAATAACCTGTAAATTATACAATGGACATGAGTTTAAAACATCAAATGTATTTTTACTATAATTTCTACAAAATAATAAAAATCCGCAATTTATTGAAAATACTTTTAATACATAAATGAATTAATAACATAAGTAATATATTTAAGATTCTAAATACAATGATAGTGGAATGTACCTTTTTTTTGTAAATAAAGTGCATTTTTGTTATTTTTAAAAAAATTTAATTCAGAACAAGTAATAACACAATACGCTCAACGCCATAATATTCATACATCATCCCTTATTTAGAAAATAGTTATTGGACATTTAATACATAACAATACCACATCTTACATAATACCAGTAGCGTGTATCAAATAATATTGTTATACCGATAAGCAATTTTCTACTATTTAATTTAGTAAATTCCTCTAGTAGTTTTTCCTCTAGTAAAAGGCATTCTTTAGAAAAATGTACTATTTTACCTACTATTAAACCTTACTCTATATTATTATACGAGGTGTGGCAATTAAATAACAAGAATTTGTTTCTAGCTTCTATAGTGGTAACAGTGATACCTTTAAAATTTGTTGACTTAAAGTTCACGAGGTAATACACAAGTCTGCTAAGTTTGATAGTGATCGGTGTTATATTTTGTGCTCTCCGATTTTTTAAAGTTAGTAGTGTAGTGTCGTGACGTACAAAAATGTGTGACGTGAAAAACGAGCAACGAATCGTCATCAAGTTTCTGGTGAAATCTGGTGAAAAAAACGGCCGAAATTTTTCATAAATTGCAGCGTGTGTTCGGTAATGACTGCTTATCAAAACCACGTGTGTACGAATGGGCATCACGTTTCGCATCAGGCCGAGAATCGACGCAAGACGATGCAAGGTCAGGTGCCCTAAAATCGTGCACACTTGGTAAAATGTCGAACGTTTAAGTGTGTTGGTGCGAACAGATCGACGCCTCACAGTCCGAATTGAAGTTATTAAGCGATTGTGTCATAGAATATCTCGTGTGAGGTCGGAATTAGCCAAAAATGGTTGGGTCCTTCACCATGAAAATGCGCCTGCTCACACATCATTAAAAGTTCAACAGTTTTTGACCAGTAGGAACATAACAAAGTTCCCCCACCCCCCGTACAGCCCTGATCTGGCTCCACTGGACTTCTGGCTATTTCCAAAGTTAAAGGAACCAATGAAAGAACATCGCAATGAGGATTTGGAGGACATTCAACGTGCCGTAACAACGGTGTTAAAGAGTTTAACTTCTGGAGACTTCCAGGAGTGCGTCCAGAAATGGGAAGAACGCTGGACCAAGTGTGTTCGACTCGGAGGAGAGTACTGTGAAGGCAAGGGTGCATAAATCATTGTAAATATTAAATAAATGTTATACAATTTAAAATTCTCGTTATTTAATTGCCACACCTCGTAATATCGTTTTCCTATTAATACTTAATAACTTCATTATTGGTTTTCTATCAATGCCCATCCACATGACTTTAAGATGTTGGCCTGCTGCTTATGTTATACACCATTGCATGATACTCTAGAGAGATCAATCTGAGAATATAGATGACATTTTGAAGTATATGCAAGGCACTGTTTTTAAGATGAAGTTGAACTATAGTCAAAATTGTTTTTAAATTAAATAATGTAACATTATTGTCGCTTACAAAAATTTAGATACCAGTTACAGTTGTCCATCCAATTCTCACCTATCACTTTTTTATATTAATATTGATTACGAGAAAATCAATTAATAAATCATTTTGATTTATTATTTTAATGATAAATTATATAATCTGTATCTATTTGTAATGAGTAGAACATATTCTATTCTTTCATTTTGGAGCATTAAATTGGTCCTATAAAATGAGTGTATTGCTATTGGAAGTTTATCATGATGTTTCTGAATATCATCTACAATTATATGACAATCATAAAAACAAGTACAAAATGTAATGCAATTTTTTATTATTCAACTTCCTTTTGATAAAATAAATATTATATTTAAATTTAAATTTAAAACCATTGTCCCATAAAAAATATAATAATCTTTTGGTATTTCAAGTTTTAATAATCTATCTATCTTCATTTGTGGCTACCTTTCCGTAATATTGAACTGATATTATGTATTATAATATTAACTTATATTTTCCCTTAGATTAACATATAACAAAGATGAAAGAGGTAGAATTGAATGCTTACAAATAAAAATGCCTTAAAATTAAAATATTCAATAAAGCAAATTTATTTTTATTGTTTTTTCATTAAAATAATTTGTAATACTTACAATTTGGTACTTTATTAAAATCATAAATCTTTTTATTCGGCCCTGCAGTTAAAATTGCATCTTTCATATCACTTTTAGATTTAATGGTTTTTGGCAATGTTAAATTTGTCCACGGTAATTTTAATTTTAACCATTCCAAGCCATTGTACATTAAGCTCTCCAGATCACCACGTCGAGTATGCACTAAAAAGTAAATATAATTTTTATAAGATATAAAATGAACGTAGAATACATTTTGAATAATTAAAAATAAAAATCCATTATTACTTCCAAGGTGACCATCTAGAGCTATATAATTTAGTGTACCATTATTGGCACATTTCTTATCTGGCTTAACATCTTCAGTCTTATACTTAGTTACCATACCAAAATCTCCTAAATACACATGATTATTTTTTGGCTCTTTGCCAATAAATATATTTTGACATTTGATGTCCCAATGAACATATCCACATTCATGTATGAACTCTAAAGCATCAATCTATAAAAATAAAAAGTAACTAATAAAAGTACAAATTTATGAATACATCAGTATAAAAAAAGTATTATTTACAATTTGTCGAATTATGTTAATGACAGCACCTAGCAGTAACCTATCTGAAACAGTACGAAGGAATGCCTCCAAGTCTTTATCAAACTTTTCAATGACTATAAACCTATATTTGTTATCATTATGAATAGTGCTACCAAAACCATAGAATCTAGGCAATGGTAATTCTTTCAACTTTTTGATTGTTATCCATTTTTTAACATCTAAACGTAAAAAAAAAAATTGATTTATAAAATGATTTTATTTTATCCATACTTTGTTTGCCGAGAGAATTTGGTTAGTTTGCACATTCAACTAGATCCAAGGAGTGAGGTTGTGAGGGATTTGGGTGGTTGCGGTGAGGAAAGACACGCTATGGTTTGCCCATAACCGCATTTTCTTAGCAAGCAAGGTATAATATTAAAAAAAAATTGAATTTTAAGAAATACCTTCTTCCTTCACGTTTTTGAGATAAAACATTCGTTCCACAAACAGGGGTCCACTTTCCATATTTTCCTATCACCAATCAATTCAAAATAAATTATTTTATTAATTCAATTATATGATACAACTAATTTAAATTTACTAGAGGCTAATAAAAAAAAAAAAAAACTAATTTAAACCAAGATAAAACAAAATTATTTTCCAACACATATTATAAATACAATATATTGAGATAAACCAAAAGATACAATATACAACATACTAAAATAAAATAATCTTGTTTAAATTTTAAATTGTATGTAATTAATAATTAGTAATTGTTGAGGTAGGTTTATCATACAATTAGTATTATTAAAAATAACATACCGTTTTTATTGCATATTCTGTTTTCGTTCTACACTTATGTTTTTTTCCTAAAAAATATGTTATAAATATGGATTTTATTGTTTATTATAATTTATTATTAATAACTAATAACTTAACCAACCACAATAAACATATCCAAATCCTCCACTACCAATTATATTTTGAATCTCCCATTCGATACCTTTAATATCTTTTAATAATGATCCTGGTGGTAATTCTTCCTTAGGTGTGGTTTTTGCTTTTTTGCTCATATTCCACCTTTAATTAAAATTAAAATGTACAAATTATTAAATTTAACTTTTAATAATAATAAATGAATATGATCAATAGTTCCCACTAGTATAACCTTATTATACATGGCTGTTGTTAAATTTTTTTTTTTTATTCAAGATAGTCATGATTAAGTCATATATTTAGAAAGGTCTTCAACACTGTAGAGGTGAAGCCATTTTATTTTTTAGTAGTTAAAAACTTTTTATAATAATATCAGTTATAGTACTAATTTTTATCTTGAATTTTCAGCTTCATATTTGATTATCTATTCATGATCTAAGAACCCTTTAGAACCATAATATTATCTTCTTTGTATAATATCATTAGCAGGGTTCGGGATTTATAGCACTTAAAAACACAATAATAAGCGCTAAAATATGCACTTAAAAACACTAAAATATGCATAAAAAAATTAAAAATATGCATTTAATATATTTATTATTATTTATTATTTTATTAATAATTATTAAATACAATAAGTGTACTTAATATAAAAATGTTTAAAAATATCAACTGATTGTTAAGTTGTTTCTTAAACTTAAGAGTTTTTTTAATTTTATTCGACAACTATATAATGATGTGAAAAATTAAAAATTAAATTTTTCATTTAAATCAATAAATAAATAATTTTACATTTACCGGGAATACCTTTAATTTCAAAGAACGCTTAATAACTACAATACATTAAAATTATCGTATCGCTCGTATCGCAACGTGTTATATAATATGTAACAATACGGTCAATCAGGCCATCATAATTTTTTCAAACCACGAAAATTATAAGAAATTGTGGGTTGTATATAGCAAATAGGTACGTAAGACTGCGAGTAAGCTGCATTACTATTTTCTTTTTTAGATCGGGCTAAATTTGTGAAGTTGAAATTTTGAAAATTTTTCTAAAATATGCAAATTAAGCACAATATTGTAAAAATAAGCAGTTTCCGGCAAAATTTATGAAATATGCAAAAATATGCACATTCAAATTTTAGATTTGGTATCATGGCATAGAGAAATGAATTTATTTCGCACTCTGCTACATTTTACAATAAATAAAAAAAGTATGCAATTGCTATAAGTCTCGAACCTTGATCATTAGTAATCATAAATTAAATAATCAAAACAAAAACTACAGGAGAAAATTTAAAAATTAGTGGTAGAGGCATCTCACTTAGCTCAAAAATAATTTTTTTATATTGTGCGTTCACAAATAATATCCTACATTCAACATGTTTTAGGAAGGTTGTTCAGTTATAATGATTCATAAAGAAAATATATTTTTTTTAAATAGGTGGTTACCATTTATAAAAAAAATGTGTTAAAATGAAACTTTACAGTGATTTTAGACATACTTTATACATAAATTGAAGGTGGATTGATATAAAAACTTTTTATGTGGTAACAAAATAGGTAATATAATTATTGGTTATAAATAAACTCTTTTAAATATAAATATAATTTAAAAAACCATGAGATTCCCTTATTTTCTAACTAATGGAACTAAACGTGATCCGCTGAGCATAAAATGTGCTATGCTAGTATGTTACCCACTTGTAAGATAGAGACACATGCAGGTATAAAGTATTCTTAATGAATATCTCAATTGGAATTTACCAACATTTGTTCACAGCTTTATGGTCATGCATGTGATTACTGTTGGAGTTTTAATTATTAAATTCCAAAAATCATATTTATGCATTGATTTTAAGACGTCTCCAACAATTTCGAAAAATCATTAGGTATCTACTTATCATCTACAACAAACACAAATTACATAGCTACTCAGTAAAAATCCAAGTATCCAATAGATCAATAATTAAACTTTTCGTACAAATTGCTTCAATTTATTTATTTTTAATTAATTATTTATTGCAGGTATAACGTCTATCGTTAAAATTATGAAGATGCAATAATTTACAACCGTTTAACAGCAGTACAGCACATAAACTTACGAAATTATTTGTAACGTAGAAAATGTCACGGTAGTAAGTTGGATGGTGGTTAAAATGTGTAAGAACAAAAATTTACAGAAAAACTAAATATGAAAGGTAGAGTTACACAAACTAGTTTACTATGAATTATAAAATTAGCAGTCAGCACTCAGCGTGTCTCAGGATTCAGACCGTTGCCCGACGTTTCACGTTTGAGACTTTCCGTACTTTGATGTCATTTTAAATTGTGATATCAATGAGATAAGAATCCCATTTCCCGTCACGGTTAATAGATATATATCTATTAACCGTGATTTCCCGTTAATTTTACACTTATCACTTCTTGATAAGGAGGTAACCACAGTACTGAACACTTAGTTGCCTATATATTACTTTTAAGGGTTTCAAATAAATTTATTTTTTTGAACTCAATATTCTAGAAGGATTAAATAATTGTGACAATATTAATTAATGAAGAAAGAAAAAAAAAATTGGCTACTCTAGACCATGATCAAATCATTAGTGAAGTCTCTCAACAAAGTGATTTGCTGTATAAAAGTTAAATGTTTTAAGATTAAAACTATATTTAAAATTAGTACTTAGCATTTTAGGAAGTTTATACATTGGTTAATACAAATAGGCCTTTGTTTATAATTTCTCGGACTAAATTTTGATCCCAACCCGTTCCTGCCATAGGTATGTCAATATGTGTACCTACCTATATTATTAATTATTAGAAATAATGATATATTGTCATATTGATATTGTTTTCACTGTCGTCTGTAGTAAGAAGTAGAAGTTACAACAGTAAAATACTTAAACTAAATTAGTATATAATCATATAATATTTTATAATATTATGTTTGTATATTATATACAGGATGATTTTTTAACCATGCTCACCCCCATTTGTCCCTTTAATAGTGCATTTATTCAAATTCTGATTTTTAATGTGTGCATAATTTAAGTATAAAAATAGGATCACTCTGTATAGGTAAGTCGTTTCTAGGAATTGTTCATGATATATTTTTATTAATCCTTCTGGAGGGTGTAAAATTAAATAAATAATAATAATTTAAAGACAAGTTATTAACATATGTATATAATTCATGTTAACATAGAAAACAATTTTAATTTTAATTTAAACGTTTTGTGGCATATTGTATAAATGTATTATATACAAGCAGTGTTTTAAAGGAATGAGTTCCAAAAGAAATGGATTCCTGGAACAAATTTCATTTCAAGAAATGTTGTATTGAGCGAAATCCTATTTATAAAAAAAGAACAAGACCTCGTACAGTAATTTTTTTTATGAAAAAATAACAAATTTTTTGTTCTTTTTGAGTTTCAATTTACATTTTACACAGATATGTAAATCATTTAAATTAAAATAGAACCTAAGAAATACCCTCTGAATTGAGTATAAAACCAAACTATAACAGAACCTAGGTACCTATATATCATATTTTATCAACAAATATTATAATAACATATTATTCAAATTGAAAATTGAAAATTATAACACAGCTGTACTTAAGGAGATTGAGCTGCTCAAACAATTTAAAGAAAACTGCAAACAAAAATAACTTTTCGTTCCAAAACACAGACCACATTCATTAATACATGACTTAAATAATTATTTTTAATTTATTGAACAAGACATTAAATCATTATAAGATAACATGATAAACTGAAATTAAATATAACATATTTCTTTTGTTATTAGGTATCACAATGAAAAATAATATGATAACATTTTAATAATTTGAATAATAATAAATATATAATATTGTTTACAATAATAAACATGGAATTCAGTCATAAAATACTAATTAAATAAATACATTAATGTTTTCTAGTAAAAATTACTATAAAAATTAAAATTGTCTCAATTGTTAACAACTACTGAGTACTAAAAAAAATAATTTTTAAAAAAAAACACAAAAGTTGATACAATGTGTGAAGAATAAAAAAAAATATTAAAATATACTTTTAACAAAATATACTTTAAAAACCAAACACACGTTTGTGCTCTCTCCATCGATTAATTATCAAATTATCAGTTCAAATAATTATTTTTACAGTTCAACAATCTAAAGAATACTGTACCAATAATTATTCATAAATTTTGCTTAGCACACAGACCCTGCAATAATTAAAAAATTTAAGTTGTATGCCAAAAACAAATTAAAATACAAAATATTTCATAACTATAAAAAAAACATTTAACAAATGTCTAACAAATTGAGAATATTAAACCAATAAACCATGAAACAATAGAAAATACTCAAGGTAGATTTACAGAAAATGACACATTTATAAACTGTAAAAGGAACAAAATAATTATCTATGCTTGTCTTGGAGTGCTTAAGCTGAACTTATGAATTATCTAACGTGATTACTTAGCTTGAAAAATAATATGAGACTTTTGATTCATAAACACCAAGTTAAGCTTAGAGCTAAGACCCACATTGTCGATATACAACAATTTAGCTTCATTTTGCTTAGAGTATTTGACTACAACTGCAGTACCAGAAACACGAACAGAATGAGACCCATTGTCAGATTTATCACTCTTCAACATCACTTGACATGTAACATCCACATGAATATACTTTGTCACTGTTACTCCAGTTGTGCTGCTAACCTAAAATTTAAAGATAAGTTTTTCAATATTAAATTTTAAATTAAAATTAATATTAGGTATACTTACAATACATTGTTGATCCTCAATTTGAGGATTATCACTGCGGAACACTGTGGCTTCACCAATACGCTGAGTGTCATCCATGACATCAAACTTCATGCCACAAAATACAGCCTGAGGTTCAAACCCATAACCCTCTGGATATGAATCACTCCAGAAAAAGTTGGTGTTATTGTTAAGACTATGGAGGTCAGGTTTAAATGTCATACGTTTTCCATATCCCATTCCAATGTTGACCAATTGTAACGCATTGCCTTCAAACAAATAATTCTTATGCCCGGTTGGACGAACTTTATAATGAAAACCAGGCATGATTCTTGGGTCGACATAAGTACCTTAAAAAAAGTAAGTTATTTGAAACTGCGACACAGGATCAATTGTTATTGCTTACCAATCACAGGCAATTCGTATGGCTCTAAACCTGTCATGGTGTACATAGTGGGTGCATCGCCAATACTACATCCATTTAACACCAATTGCCGTTGTTTATCATCTACACCAGGTATCAAAGTGTAACCTCGGCATGGTATAAAACCAATAGCAGCATCTACTATCTTTATTAGCTTTGCTGATCCACGTGGTAGTTTAGAAGCCACAGCAATACCAGTGACCTAAATAGAATAGTTAAAATTCAATAAGACATTTCCAAAATTTAAGGCTGTTTAAAATTGATTCACAACCAACGTAATTTATTAAATGTACAACAATCTTACTGGTGTTATTGCAGATGAATCTTCTTTATAGAACCAATCTACTTTGCACAACATGCTGACTTCTACATTTTTCCTCACCTCTCCGTTCTCTATTACTTCATGATTGACTTCTTTCTGAGCATTCTAAAAATTACCAATTGTAATTCATAAGTTTGGTGTTTAGAATACCAGTAGTATTCAAGCATAACAATGATACATAACATTTATTTTAAGTAGATGATTAATTAGTCATTTTATAAACCAAACACACCAAACAATAATTAGCCTAACTATTGTGAACATATTCAATTCAGCTTGAGAAAAAAATAATCATATAGGTACTTCTAAATTTGACATATTTTGGATAAAAAATAATTAAATATAAAACTACCAGACTCCCAGATAGTTTTTAAGATGCTTCAAACTAAAATATGATAAAAAGCCATTTTAACTATAAATTAATATTTTTACAAAATCTTGAAGTTATGTGAAGAACATATCATATTTAAAATTACCGGAATTTTAGTGACTTCTATTGTGGCCACAGCAACATTGTTTGCATCAAAAACAGTGAAGTTGTCTCCAACAGACACAACATGTACTTGAAATGCATAACCAGAAGGCATAGAATCAGTCCAAAAATAATTTTCGTTATAATTCAATAATCCTGGACTAGCTTCAAATGTTAAACGTCTAGAATAACCACGGCCGATGCTCATTAATTCTAATGCTCTGTTATCAAATAAGAATCTTGTACGCTAAACAAATTTAAATGATCATATAAGCAATTTTTAACAATAACTTTCAATTTTCTGTTCAACTGACCTCCTTATTTTCAATTGGACGGACTTTGTATTTAAATCCTGGCACAATATTTGGATGGATCCAGACACCAACAGCAGCAAACTCATATGGCCGTAATAATGGAACTGAATATTTGGCAGGAAAATCATTGAGCTCAGCTCCATCCAAGTTAACCACAGATGTTTCTTCAATACTCCAATCAGAATTTTTTGAATTTGTAGTTTTTAAGCTGCTGAATGCAGATGGAACACTATTTTTTCCAGGATCAGCGGTATCAGCAAGCTCCTAAAAACACATTTAAAAATCAAAATCAATTATATTTTTCTATACTGAGAAAAGAGAATTATCTACTTATATTATAAAGGAGATATTAGTTATTCATTATAGCTACAGATTAAAAAAAAAAACTATTTTTAATTTGCAGGTTATAGATTGATTGAAAATAAAAGGAAAAATATTTAAGCATTAAGGATATAAGTTTAATAATAATGATATTATAATTTCTAAAATGTACTGTTGATAGTATAACATAGGTAGTTTAAAATGTTTTCAATAGCGCAATATTGATGTTGGCAGAAAAACACATGGTCTTGATAAATTTAAGAGAAAACATTGACAAAGTGGCAGGTGAAATGGTGTCCAATATCAATTGACAATTGTGATGCTTCTAAGTGTCCGCCACAGCCCACAGCATAACTCCTTGTTGCACGTTCAGGATTCACTATGTAAGTTTCTAGTCTTAAGATCTATCAATAGCATATGTTTCTCTACCAACATTTAAAGCGCGCAATATGCTTTAAATAATTTATCAGTTTTTTTTTTTAGTTTCAATATAAAATTACAATATTTTATGTTTATTTTTCATTTACAAAACACAATAGGTACAAGAAAATAATTATAGCTCAATTCTTGTAGACATTGTTCTAATAACAATGGCTTCATCATAAAATAAAGTAAAGTCTTCAACCAGAAATCGAATCATATGTCGATAAACAAATAATAGTATTAAGTACACATAGGTATTAGAACAATTAGGCCTATCTCTAATAGTTTTAAATTCTAGTTCAAATTACATACCTACATTATTATGAAAGAGTAATTATTACCTATGTTTTTTATTTAATATCTAGCAATTATTTTTATTATGATAATATATCATAATATACCTAATGAAAATGAATTCTTTTTTAAAATAACTTATTATCCAATAGGTAATAAAAATTTTGAAAAACATTAATAGCAAAATAGTTACAACAATTTTTGAATGCTTAATTAATTGTTTAAACAGGTACTATTTGAATTACAGTTCTTTTAAAACTACAGTAATACATTAATTGGGATTTATTTGAAAAAATCAAAAAAAAATGAATCATTAAGAAATCATGGGTTTAAATTATATAGATTCGAAAATAATTTAGTCATTAATTTAATATTTTAACATAATACAATTATAAGAATACTTGATGTGATGAATAAAAAAAATAATCAAACATTTAAGACTGAAAAATGTAGTATTGTATAGATACTTTTAGTTTTTAAGCACAATATGGTATATATTATACATTGAATATTTGAATTTATATTAAACTAACTATTAGATATTAGAGACCATTGATAAATACACTTCAAATTATCGTGTTTTTATGACTAGTTTGCCATAAAATTTTAATATGAATTACCAAGCTTAAATGCGTTGTTTTTATTCAAATGACTGCAAGATTTATAAAAGAATGAGCAATTCGGTACTTTGAAATACCAAAACTTTGAATTATTGAGAGACGACTGCATATATATTTAGATAGTATCTAATGAATTAAAATTATGTATTTTAATTTTAATTGTTTTTGTGTTGTATTAATAAAAAATATAAATATAAAATATAATATATTATATTAATGCCTATAATCTATCAGTTTTATTAGAAGAAACTTGATATAAGCAACAAATATCAAGTTTTTCGATTTTTTTTTTCATAGAACTGTATAATAATTGAATTTGTAATATAAGGAATTAAAAAAAAGATTTGTTTAGGAAAAATATGGAATAAAATACATTTAATAATGTAAGATGTATGTTTCTCGTGTGTTTAATCTTCATTCTTTGATGGTTTTATAATTATAAAAATTTAATTTCATCAAAACCCTCAGATTAAAATTTCTCAAATGCATATAAAGAACATAAGAAACAAAAAAAACTATACATTTATTTTTACTTCTTATTATTTTAAAAGTAAAAATGATTACATCATAATAAAAGTTTGATAAGATATGAAATATGCTCATTATGGCATTATTAATAATTGTTACTTACAAGGTCTCAAAATATATAATTTAACAATTACCTAAATAATATATTTTTAATAATATATAAAGTAAAAATCTCAATGTTTGTATCATGTTTTAAATTTTTTGAATCCATTTAAATTTTAAATTTTAAACATCTAATTTTTACCTATCCAGATTTTAAAATAAATCTGAGAGTTTTGTGTTTTATATTAATGTTCAATAAAAATATATATTTAGTATAAATCATTCACATACAAATTGTTTCTGTCATACTAATACTAGATGACAAATACGATTAATACGAATCTACCTAGTAAATTGTAATTTAGAATCATATATAGATTTCTAAATAGTTTTGTAAGTAGTAAAGCCACTTGGCCAGTATTTCATGATAATACTTCATTTTTTTTTAGTAGCAACAAAAACTCACAAGCAACTTCGTTCTGATAATATGGTGTCCGTCATGGATATAAAAACCATGCATGTAACTGATGAGTCCTGTAAACAGAATTTACATTGGCGAACATGTTTTTTTTTTTTAACAGGCACCGAATCGATGACAGTTGAATCCAAATAAATAATAATAATAATAATATTCCAAAACAGCAAATTACATAATAATTCTGTTGATGAAATGCACAATTTGAGCAGCTACATAATTAACTATAATTATATAATTCATATTTATATTTAATAGATATAGAAAAAAAAATTACTCTAATTTTATAATTTTATTAAATAGTGGTATTAAAAAAATCTAGGTAAGAAAAAATAATAATAATAGATACACTTAGTCTTTTGTAATTAAACATGAAGGTTATAAACTTATGAGTGCTATAATTAGTATATGACATAATGGTTTATTATTCAGTTAAATAATAAAATGTAAGTATGTAACAACTCAATATGTGCACTCATGTTTTTGTGTATAGATTGCATCATGATTCATAATATTTAAGTGATTACTTACAGGAAAAAAAATGGTTTTAACATACTAATAACTTACCAAGAGATAATAACTTACCAACCCTGAACTGACAAGAACAGGGCTCTGGTAAAAGGAGTTCATGAACTTCATATTTATTAAAAAATAAGCCTGAGGCGCAAATAGACTTTAATACATGTACACATTGAATACTAAAAGAAACTCGACTGTATACTATTGAATAAAAAGAAAGACTACCAGACAATTGTTTAAATACTACTTACTTAAAATAATATAATGGTACAGAAGCCACATGAAATTATAAGTTAAAATGAATTTGAAAAAAAAAGGATGCTTCATTGAAACCTCACTAACTCAACATTCAATTACTATTAGTACTCAAATGCTCGAACACAATATAAAATATATTGATATTTTATGGCTTTTCTCGAAGCTTAATTAAAACGAGCAATGAAATTTTCAAAATAATTTATTGTTGATATTGTTTTTTAAATCAAAATTAAATTCTATGAAACTCAAAATACATAGGTATTTATATGTATTTATTCTATTGACCGGGAAATAAAAATAAAAATATTTTACATTATTAATCATTATCATAAAATATGTTTTTTATGTTTCTATTTGAAGTTTATCAATAAATAAATTTACCTACCAACCAAATGTAATAAAATATAAACTTAAAAACAATACTAACTTTTTCCAAGTAACGAGCTTCATCTCTAGACTTGACTCTATCCCCAAGTAATTCTCCATCAATGGGCTAAAAATAAAATTGTAATGATACAATCATGACAAATTAACATATTTATATTTTACTATTTGTACATAAGTTAATATAATTTATTAATGATACTATCTTAACATCATAAAATCATAACTTAAATTTCATTATCTAATTCATAAAAGAAAATTTAATTTTAACATCATTCCACAATTGTATATTACATTATTATTTAAAATTTTAAATATAACTGATTTATTCAATGTAATATTGATAGACATCTTAGATGTCAAAGGTAAAGATATAGGTATTTAATGTTCTTATACAATAACTACGCATAATATTTTACTTCCACGATGATGCAGTTATAATAATGGGGAAAGTTAGCCAATTTATTTTTATTACCAAAGCAGAAAAAATAAATTTGAAACAAAGTTATAGAAATGCAATAATGTTAGGCGTCTAGCCAAAATTACACTCAACCTCAGGTGTATATATACTATATAGTGCATACAATTCAAAAATACTTATAATTAATGACCTTTAATAATTTACATTCACTTCAATTATTATTAATAATGTGTCCTTAGAATATTAATTATTAAGTTATTTTGTACTAAACAGGAATTGTTTTTTTTTAATCATAATATTATTGGATAGTTTTTTCTTGATTGATACGTCCTATAATTATTTTAAAGCACATAAGTATTAAAAAAATATATATTACTGTCAGTGAAACATTATGAATCATAATGAATTTTAATACATTTTATTTTTAATGAAATATGTAGTACAAGTAATTCTTAATTTTTTTAGTATTGGATATTGTTGAACATTAAAATCTAATTGTATAAACATAAATTTAAATTATAACCAACTTCCTATCTTATTTTTAATACGTTTAATGATATTAAATATTTAAAAAAACCAAATATTAAACATTTAAATGTGTGTACAGTTCAAAAAATGGTATTGTTTTGTGTTAAAGTAGTGTATTTAAAACACTTGTTAGTTGTTTTGGTTTACATTTGTAACGATAGAAAATTGTATAGCATACAAATTACAAGCTCATAATAAAGATAAACATCGCAAATTTCATTTTCAGAATTAATATTTTTGAAATTATATTAAATATTGCACTATATGTCTATATATATAACTCAGGCTGAGGGTTATGTTGGCTAAACGCCTAACATTATTGTATTTCCATAACTTTGTTTCAAATTTATTTCTTCTGCTTTGGTAATAAAAATAAATTGGCTAACTTTCTCAATTTTTATAACTGCATCATCGTAGAAGTAAAATATTATGCGTAGTTACTGTATAAGAACATTAAATACCTATATCTTTACCTTTGACACCTAAGACGTCTGACAATATTACATTGAAATAAATCACTCATATTTAATATATTAACTAATGTAATGTAAAAATGCGAGGTAGTGTTAAAATTAAATTTTATTTGATGAATTAGATAATGAAATTTAAGTTATAATATGTACCTATTTGTAATTTATGGGTCTACTATATAATTTATACTTTATTTTGTTATTGTGTCATAATATTATGAATTAGCTTATAATCAAGGCTCAAAACTTAATGCATTAACATTTACATATATCTTAGGAAATTAATATTTTAAGTTTAATTAAAAATAAAAATAAATTTTTATGATTAAAAACATAATGCAATTCTTTTGCATTCTATTATAATTTTTGAATAGTCGTGCATATTATACTGTATAATATACAACTTTTCAAGATATTTTTATTGGATATACATATTTTATTGTTTTTAGAGGATAAAGTTACGAGCCCGGTTTATGACCATCGTTTTAAAAGGCACAGTGCCCACTGTACATATCTTCAAGGCCGTAGACAGGAGAGGTCAGGGTTCAAACCCCTCCGAAATATCCTACTATACATTAAACACAACTTTAGGATTAAATCGGAAATACACTGTTAATTATTAGTATTTAGTTTTATAAATATAATTTAATCTCAAGTCGTATTTTAATACCTACATTAAAAACATTTCAATGTCGATTCACTTAAAAAAATTAACGTTTAAATACAGGACAAAATACGCCATTTTTAACTGGCTTAATTGTTTTCCCCATCAAATGTCCACATATAAGACAAATGTTTAAATGCACTATGCAGTACCTACTTAGGTAGTTACAAAAAAATTATATCGATAACATCTCAACGGTTAGACAATTAACAGGTAACTAGTAACTACTACCATAGGACGTATCTACTCTAAGTTATGACTTTTAACGAAAAATTCTACAAGTTGTACCATAGGTAGATAAGTTAACGGTTAATAAAATCGTATTCAAATCGTTCAAAAATTAATTCTGTTATTGCGTTGGACACTTCATAAAATAATATTGAAATTTTAAATTGATAAACGCAAAAATCAATTATCGTCTGAAATTGTTTACCTAAGTGAAAATTATATTTAATAAATATGCAGTGGTGGGTCAAAAGGCTCAACGTTGATGCAACTGCGTCAACTTGTCAAAGGAGTGGTGGCAACTGGCAACGGTTGACTGCTGAGCGGCGCTGAAAAGTCAATGCAAACTGCAGCTAAGGTTTGACCCCACCTCCCCGGCCCGACCTCTTTCGGCCACATTCTATTTACATCAAATTTTTGTTATAGGTTAATAATATTCTATTTTATTAGAGTATATTTTGGGGTGCTGGACGGTGGTAGTGATAAATAATTAAATATGAAGTTGCGTCATTTAAAATTAAAGTTTAGTCCGCTACTGAAAATACTGAAATGCCTATCTACAAATAAAATTTATCAAAAATCAATTAAGGGGAATCTTTAATTTACCTCTGAATATCTAATATCGTAGGTATATCGGAAAAAAAGAATGTCGGTAGACCGTGAGATCCGAGTAGCACCCAACTTTCAACATTTTATAAATTACCTACAATCTACATTGTATATACAGTATCAATACATATTAATTTCAAATTACTTAATATACCAATCTATTTATAATATATAGAAATCAGGTATTAATTTCCCAAAATAAATTATTAATATTTATACATACAATGCAAAAAAGCACCAGTACTTATATTATGTTCGTGTCAAAAACTCTAACCTGTATTTAATAATAGTATAATCTATACAAAATATATTAATATTCTATTCATGCATATTAAATCAACTAACCTGATTATCAAATGATGATGCACATTGACCCTGGTCCAATATCTCATCCCGGATTTCATGCATGTGACCTAAGATCGTACCCTGACGCTTGGCCCACAGACGATGCAAACCAGATTGCATGATTTCAGCATTTACGCCTTCCATTGAAGAAATGCAGCCAAATATAGAAACTGCCAAAAAAATATGCCAATGACGTCAAAGGTTCAGTTTTTTTTTCGATAAGTAGTTAGTATTATTACATTTTTTTAAATATAGGTATTAGGTATTCAGGTAGGTACGCAGTTATTAGTATTATACCATAAGTCCATTAACTAATTTAAAAGCTACAAAGAGAGGGAATGGTTTTAAACACTGAAGGTGACGATTTTATTAGAAAATTTTATTTAGAAACTGCGAGCGCGTCTTACACCCACTAATAACTCTGCAGTCTGCGAGTTAAAAATACAGAGATTCCCAATTGAATTGGCAAGAGTACCTACCAACGGTACATAATATAACAACAAGTTGTTTCATACTATTTAATCGAATTTTATTTGTATTGGTGGGAAAGATACAGTGATGAATAAATTTAAATAACAAGTAAATCCCACATTCCCACAATGCCACAATGAAAAAAAACAAATCAAATCAAAGACGCATAATGTTAGAATAGACACTAAAACCAAAATAATTAGTACCCGAAACACGAATCACAATTTTACATTCCTAAATCATGCTATTTTAGTGCGACATTTTGAAGATTTAAATTTTCAACTCACAGTGGAAACTACAGAAAGTTGAACAAGCTGCAAAACACGCAGCATATTCACATTTAGTGTTTCCACTGTAGATAATAATATTATGATCCTTTAAAATAATAAACACATCATATATTTATAATTTAATTTAATATTTATTCTTAAAAAGTGATGAGAAACTGAGAATACCATCGTCCTTTTATAGTTTTATGTATGGATTACAACGTTTAGTGATACTAATATAAATATAATAAATAATAAGAATAATATATGTATTTAGAAACTAAAGAATGTCAACGACTTATTACGTCGTGTACCTACTCGAGACATGTATATTGCGCATTACGTGTGGACATGTGGTTACCGTAAAACAAGACAATATAGTAATGATTAGCTTATGCTTTTTTTTTAGTTGAACGTAACATATAATAACAATTAACACCCACGTGTACATTTAACTATATAAATATAAGGTATATAACTATTACCATTGATTTTATAACTATATAATAATATGGATAATCAAAGTTATATATAATGTATACCTCATTAGGTAGGTGAAAATATTATAGTATTTTATTTTAAATTTTAAAAATGTAAATTACTTTATAAAAATATTAACTTAATATGGTACATCTTAATAAAAAGTATAAACAAAATATTAGAGCGGTTTAGTAGATATGCATATAGGTGATACATTTTAATAATTCTTTAACTATTATGATTTATTACTCTGATGGCCAAAATGCCAAATCGGTTAGTAGGTTTTCCGAGAATAAAAATATTAATGTACAAAATTATGTTTTAATAACAATGTAGGTAATTTAATATTATAATTTATAATATGTTCATAAATAACTATGTTATTGTTATTTTTTATCATACATTGAATTAATCGAAATAAGACTACTCGTAAAAGCCTAACACTTAATACCTGTAACTAACTCATGATCGAACAATTGTTTTAATTTTTTCAGATCATAAATAGCAAATATGGAAACTATCTAAACATTTTAGTTAAATATTTTTTTACCTTCAAAGATATTAATTGTATTAATTATATCACTGCATATTTACATCAGTATTGCAACAATACAATAGACACATTTTTTAAAAGTTGACTCATTAAAAACAGATGAATTTAATTATAATTATTGTAACAATAATGACATAATATAGAGTATTATAAATCTGATGACATAGCATTTAAAATGTATTGTATAATAACATCTAAAAAATAGCATTCTTATTTTATATTCGTTATGACTTATAAGTTTAAACTCAAAAAAAAAAAATACAATAATTCCTGCATAAAGAACTATAATATAACTATAGTACAATATATTATTATTGTATTTAAATCTAAAATAAACCGTTATGGCACCTACTTCAGCAAATTATGAGTGCACATAATTTATATTAATATAGAAAATATTTTATCTGTGACATAACTGCATAAGTTATAATTTTATAATATATTATTAACGGCCGTATCTATAAAAATTATACAAGAATGTTTACGAACCAATAACCATAGATTATAATAATATCAAATATACTATATCGCTATTCAATTAAGTAATAAAAATAAAAAGGTTATCATAAGCAAATAACATATTAATATATTATTATAATCCTCATTGTTTTTTTTTTTTAATACAATGGGAAAGATTACTTGCTATATGCCTATATTGACTATAAGACATATCTTTTGCAAACTTCAATAAATCATATTGAATAACATTAAGTTTTAGTCCATAGTTATATTATGATTCACTAAGTAAATATAGTACCTACTACCTGTCTACCTATATGGCTTTATTTAATCTATGATCATAATTCATAATAATAAATACTTATCCTATTCTGTTATCTTTACAGGGAAAAGTACTTCAATAAAATATTGAAAAAAATCAATACCTATATTAATAATACCTAGGTACCTATTATTAAAATTGGAAATACATTGATTTTATTTTCTGACTAATATAACATTTTATCAACGTAATTATACAAATTCTATATAGGTAATAAACAGAACTATTTTTTTTTGTAGTTATATTTGCTAGTTGAGTCTAAAGTGTAAAAATTATTTAAAAATGTCAAAAAAAAAAAAAAATTAACTAAAAACACTAAATAATATTCTGGTTATTCTTGGTTTTTGATTTAGCTGTGCATTATGTGAATTAGTTGACATTTTAATAATGTTAAATTGTTAATGATTTCTTAATACTGTAAAGTATATAGGATAAACTGTTAAAAACTAATCATTTATTAAGTTATATTTTTTTAGTTAATACTTATAAATGTACCATGTAAAAATCTTACAGAAATAGTTTTTTTTCTTTGTTAAATAAAAATAAATGCCTAACTCGGTTTTATTTCGACAATTTTTAAAATATATTCCATCAATAATTAATTAGAAAACTTAGGGTAACCTGCTATTTTCTTTGAAAATATAAAAAACATACAAAAAGCAAATGTATTTTAATATAACTAGGTATAGAAAGGTGTGTTTAGTAATACTACTTCAAGAATACAAACATGGGGCTTAGTTAAATAGGTACCTACCCTATCCTCAAAAAAAAATTTATTATCTATTATCAGTACAATAACAAATATTCAAAAATAGGTACTAACTTTTGTGTCATATCACTAGAAATTCAACAAATTATGTTTACTGATCAATAATAAGTCTATAAATAATTAGGTGATTGACAAAAGAAGCTTGGAGTTTGGCACAAGTGCCAGTAGATAGATCAATTAGAAATTGGATACTTCAATACAGACTAAGTTTTAAAGTAATTATAGCTATAAAGCTATTATAAAATTTTACATTAAATAGGATCACACAATTATTATGATTTATAATATTATGCTGCTAAAATATAAACAGGGTAGATACCTAATCTTATTTTTAACAAATTAAAAAACTGTACTAAGTGGTTTTTATTATGTTCATATTCATTATTCTATTAATTATGGATTAAATTATACTGTGCCAAAATTATGTAATTTAGTTTAAATTTCAATCAATGACCATAGTTAAATATTCAGAAATTCAAGCACAACAAAATAAAATGTATGATAGATAGTTAATTTAACCAGCTTTTAATTAAAAAAAAAGATTTTGTTGTGTACAATTTTTCAAAACAGTTTAATTGTAAATAAAAATCCAACGATCAACATCAATAGTATTTTAAAATAATTATATTTATCAAAGTACCAAACAACCAATAATTATAAAAACCTATGTTAATATTTATACTTCCATAATTTAATAATTGGTAGTTGTTGTATAATTTGTATTTTATAATTTATACAACAACAGTATTATTTTAGCAACAACATTTTTTTATTGAGTCTATACTCTACAGTAATTATATTACTTATTACATTTAACAAGAAAAAAATGAATTTTGTTCTGCTGTTTCAGTAACCAATACATACAAATTAAATATTTCAAATTAATTAAATATGATTTGTTAGTATACTTAATAATATTACTACACAGATTTTAAAAATGTCTCTCACTAATTGCAGGCTTCATCAATATTAAGTTTTCAAACCCCAATACTCACACATTTCACTAGTATAATATATAATTCATATCACTTGAAAACATAAAAATAAGTATATTTTTAATTATTGATCTTAAAACATCGTCATCTGAAGTTTTTACTGTACACTGTACAGTATTACAAATTACAATTACTATTTACGAAAATATTTTTGTTTTTTTTTTTTAGTTTTCAATAGTTTTTATTATATTTAATATAATACTATATTATAATATACTTATATTCTATAATATTTAATTAAATTTATTATAATATTATAGAAGTGCGGAAATCGCGATTTGTATAGGAAATGCACCGATGCGCGATGATGCAGTGGCAGTAGCTAGTAGCTACGCAGCTATAAGTAGATACGACATTCAAACGAATAGTAAAAACTAATAATATACATCTAAAAACAGCTGTCAACTGTAACATTAAGTTCTGCACAAATGGATTTTATAATTTATATTATTTTTATGCGCACTTTCATCGTTTAGTGAAAGTCAGAGATTCGTTACACATTTCTGATGGGGCAAATGTGACATCAGTATTGCCACGAATAATATTATAGGCCCTTCAATTTAAAAACAGAATAATATTGTGATGTCGAATTTCACAAGTAAATATAGGGATGCATATCAGTATAATCGTAATCTGGGGTCAGAATTGTAATCTGACATTATATTTTTAGAAACAATACATAAAAGATATTTTTAATTTTTCGTCCTAACTAAAAAAAAATTACTCTCATTGCACTGCCGCATAAAAGTGTTTGAGTATAGGGGACCTTTGACAAGGGAATAGTCAAATACTCAAATCGGTCTTCCATTAGAGCATCCAGACAATAATAGTTAATTTTGAATAAAAAACGTTTAAAAATATTTTTAAAAAAATAAGAAAAATAGATAATACATAATATGGTATAGGTATAATAACTATACGCGGGTTGGGTGTTTAAGTACTATGTAGAAGGTATTAGTATATAGCATCGACATTTGACAATAGTCGATAATGAATAAACCTTAGAATAGAATTCAAACCATTTTTGAAAAATTACCTCTAAGTCGAAAAGTTGTTGGCGGCGAACTGCTGCACTCACGACAGAAATGTAAGAATGTAAAATCTGTTCGTAGACTGTGCTCTGTAATCTGGAGAGTGAAAATCAAAAACACACAGTTCAATTATTATGTTATTACTATTTTAACCAAAATACAAATACAGTAATTAGGTAGATAATATTTTATTATTGTATAATGTACATTAGTGTAAATAATGAGACATTATAATTGTTATACTGTCGTAAATATATATATATCATTTATTTTTAACCATATAGTCATGTAGGTACCGTGTGATGGAATATTATCCGTGTCGAATGCCGAGTCGTAAAGGGTCGTCGATGTACGCAAATATCGCAAAAATCGCAGGTAGGTACTGAAACGCTCCAACGGAGAATCGATTATGAAAGACGCGTACGCGAGTGGGCGAGTGACGTAGGTACAACGTACAACGGTGAACGAACAAACGCGGGTCAAAGAGCCACTACTTGGTTCCACAACGGACGATGTGCCGAGTTTTTAGATCGCTGTCGTCCGTTATTAATATTATTTTTATTTTATTTTATTCGTCGCTGGAATCGCTCTACCGATACCCTGGAACACAGCTGGTACGCACAGACCGACGACCGTTTCACAAGTGACAGGCGACTAGCGACTAGCGAGCAGCGAACGCTGAGCGTCCCAGTGACACGGGTGCGTGGAGAGTGGATTAGTGGTGAGTGGAGGCGTAGCGCCGGGTGTGATGCAGCTGCAGTGGTGGCGGCGGCAACGATCGCTACGACGGCGACGACGGTAGCCGGCCGGCGGCGAACGCTATCGGTATTCGGTGGGTGTCGAACGGTGGCGGGGGCGTCGGGGTGAACAACAGACGTCGTCTGACGACCCATCGACGATCGACCCGGCCCGACCTGTAGGAGCCGAGCTGTACGCGGCGCCCGGCGTCACAAGCACCGTTTTTTGTTCCACCGAATACCGATCAGATTATAATATAATTGAAATTATTATGCGGCAGGTATTCATTCCTCCCCGAGTTTGTTGTCGTCAACGTTGAGATTGGAAATCGTCACCTTACATTATAATTGCAGTGTCTACGTGTCGTATATAATTGCACAGTGCGAGGGGTGCCTCATTAGTCATTATACTCGTAACTATCTAGTTGTAATGTTTCTTTTTCTCACAGTAATGATTAACGCTAAAGCTATCTTTAATTTGTGCTCTATTAAGCTTAATTGTGGTTCTATTTCTTTAAAAATCGTCTACTGCACTATTGTTCATTTCGAATTAGTTTAGATCAGGCTCATCTCTTATCTGGTCTCTCATCTGAGTAAATAATAGGTACATCAAAATTCTAAACATAATTCTATGCTAGAATCTGTTCCAAAATAATTGTTGGCGTCTTATTTCATTTAAATTTAATATCCGTGGCTGATGGTTCTTTTTATAATAATGTTTTAAATTTCCTTAATCTTTCACTATTTATAGAAAATCGAGTCGTATGCTATTGCTCTCATAATTTACGCAGTTATCAGGTTCTATTAATTGTCCTGAATTGCTGTCTTTGTTCAAAATTAATTATCTTAATACTAGGGATTCCAAACCATTTTAATATTTTCCCAATATTTTAAATAAAATTATACTTTAAGCTTCTTTGCTAAAATCCTATAGAGGTTGCTCATATTATGTTTTTGATTATATCACATAATTCTGTATTGTTTTTATTTTATATAATATATTTTCTTAATTCATTAAATTTTATATTTTAAGCAATATTAGCCAATCTGTTGTATGATGTTTGTTAATTGCTATATATTTTACTTCACAATGTTAATAATTCTGTTATAGAATTCACGAGTTCAAGACCATAGTATATTAAAAAAAAGATAGTAGATACCATATGTGACCTTGTCTATAAAAGAGTATATAAGTCCTTTGAAGGTTTGGACGTTATTATATTGCATTAATATGCAAAGTAGTGTCATATATTGATACATACATTTTTTTCAAACATTGTTGGTTTGACTAAATTTAAACCATGGCAGATGACCAATTGGTGTGTAAATATTTTAATAGTTGGATCGATAAATTACGTTAAATATTAAAATAGTTATTCAAATTTTATAGCACGAGGAATTGAGGCGGGTAGTACTTTATTCTAATTTAGTGTTAGTGTAAGATACTATTATTGTAGTAGTAACAACCAGAATATTACATTTTTAGTAGGTGGGTTAGAAATGTACTATGTATGTGGACAAACGCCCTAGGGAGTAGGCCGCTGTAGGGGGTATGGAAATATGGTATTCAGGTAGTTATACGTATCGTAGCCCATAGGTACGATATAATATTATAATGCTGTGTTTTATCAAGTAGATTCCATTCGTTGTTATGTAATACAAGTATAATATGCATCAAACTCTCAAACGTTTTATACGAGGCCGTCACAGTAGAAAAAAACGACCGTAAAAACATGCTTTTGTACTTCCAATAGCACTCAGGGCTCGTTGGTCTTAGAAGCATGAAAAAGTTAACCAATAATCTTGGAATAGTTTTTTTGGAATTTACTTTCAACAGATTTTATTTGCATTTGAAATTTGTAAAAATATTCAATTTTTTACATAAATCTCATACAATGGCCTTTTTAAATATCAAAACCGTGTTCCAAGATTTTTAGTATAAATTCTCTAATTCATATTTTTGATATCAAACTCATATTTATACGACCAACCAAACCTGGCCTGACAAGCTAACCAGTAACCACTCGAGTAGTGTATTACAGGAGGAGGACAAGGGGGAAAATGTCCTAAATTCATTACAGGAAATACAAGTCTGTTTTGGTGAAAAAAATACGAATTTGGTGTAGTTATGACTTATGGTGCATTGTGCTGCTCCCTGGACTACAACAGCAGTAGTTTTAAAACCGTACTTATTGCGCATAATTAGCAGTGGTACTGCACAATAGGTAAAAACCAGTTATTGTGGTTATCTATCGTAACAGTCCATTATTTATAAAATGTACAAAATAAACTCTACAAAATAAAATGATGACTCGGCGGCGACCAGTTTTCGTCGGGCGGCGGTCAGACGCGTTGTTTGACGCTTCCCCTACCAAGTCGACGCGCGAGCCAGTGCTTTGGAACAAAGCCACGCCCATGCGCACAACTCGGGGTGTTGATCTTATTTTGAACATCGTTACTTCTCTCGCGGCATAGATTGGGTACTCTGTTCAAAATAAGATGAGGGGCTATAAAAAATCCGAAAACATTGTGGCCGACATTATTTCAGTCGGAAATATTTGATCAGAAATATATTTAATACGAACCATATTTTATCAGAACCGTTTTTTAGCCGACTAGTATTTTAGTCTACAAATATACTATAATCCGATCCATATTTCAGCCGAATGGTAAATGTGCATGGTAATATTATTGCGGTAACCACGGTTATAGATATTATATTTATACCAGTGCTACAGCAGTGCCGCCAACGTGTAAAAACAGCGTAAGTTATTTACAGTGATGCCCGAGTGGTCACTCGCTCCTCGCGCAGCACTCGGACAAAAAAAACGAAAATATCCCTCGAATTGCTATGCAACACCACCTCAAGTTGGTCACAATATTAATTTCGGCTAAAATACGGTTCAAATGAAATACGTGTGGGGTAAAATACGATTCTGCTAAAAGCTAATAATATACTTGTCTATTTTTTTATTTTTCTGCTGAAATACGGATCGGTCGAAATATTTTCGTCCATTTTACAAGCTCCCGAAGTCACCCGTTTCGCGCATACAGACTGGTGGCAGTGACTGTTGCAAGGTTCCATTTCCCCCACTTTGAGCCATTTAGTGCGGCGCTATGATCGTGATCGATATGCCAAATAGGTGGGGAATGCGCAGATTTGAACTCGATTTGGTCGGGACTTCGGTTACTTCTCTCGTGGCGTGGACGAGGAGTATACAACACATTAATTAATAATTAATATTTAAATTATTATTTACATATTTTTTTAGATACCTAGCCATTATAAACTACATTCAATAACATTACTGTTATACTAGTAATATACCAAATATTTATATTACTATTATTATTATTATTATAATACCTACTTAAAGGTACTACTATAGGTAATACTGTAATAGTAGGTATTGAATTATGGTAATTTTAATAAGTTATTAATGTTTAATGCTAATGTATACCTATAACCTAATAACAATAGCCAGGGTTATTCTTTTGCTTTATTTTGTATATAATTTCTGTCCTTATTCCTTTTAAAAATAATAATTTTTAGATAGTAACATTAGACAATTTGTTCCTGTTTGGATTATTAAAAATCTATAAAAAAATAAAAAAATATACAACAAAGGTTAGGTTAGGTTAGGACAAAAATATACATGCAACCGGATAGGTGCTGAAGAGCACAAGCTGGTATTGAATCGAATAAAAGTTTTTTTACAATAGCCAATAGGGTAATATTATGAAGTATATTAAAAGATTTATTTTTATCAGATTATTTATCTCTTATACCGATTATACCGGTGGTACATGATTGCGGACGGTACCTATCAGGGTGATCTTTTTAATAACACGATTGTGAACTTTTTAGCACCAAATTTATAAATAATACTTCCTTCGATAATCTGGGAATGTGGGAATTCTGAGTTCATTAATTGTAGTACAAATAATTTTTGTTATTCTTCTGACAACAATTTCATCAATAAACAAAGGTCGAGAAAAATCGGTGGAAAAAAAGATTTATTTGGAATTAAATCAACTATTCGGAGCCATAAAGACTATAAAAATCAACAAAACGTATTACAATATTTAAAAACAATTTTTTGCCATTACGGAGGGAAAAAAATATACATTTAAATGGTTATGTTGAGCAATGAGCGCTGGTTTTTTGGTTTCTTGCTTTTTAATTTCTTAATTTTTTACTTATGTAATTGTATTAATACTGTGGATTTTTAATGAATGTGAACAGTAAAAACTTAATCTACACAACACTTACATTTTTGATTTTTAACTTATTTTTATAATTTTAATATTGTGAACTATAGAAATACAACGCCAATGTCTTTATAAATCTAATACCATTTATCATAATTTGTGTTAATATTACAGTAAAACCTCTAAATAGCGGACACTCACGGGACTGACAAAATTGTCCACTATTGAGGCGTGTCCGCTATTGGGAAAAATTAATAAAATAATATGTATGTATTTATGTCTGTATTTATGTCTGAAACTTTAAATTTTATTGACTTTTTAAAAAATATCTTACTTCAGGTTTATCAAAACATAATTTATTATAATTATTTAGACGTAACCAAATATACTATACAAAATTACTAATTGAAAAAAATCTGAAATTTCAGTTTGTTTTTTTCTTGTATTGCGATTTCCTCAAAATTAGACTGGAGTTGGTTAACTATTGACAATGAAACTGCATCATAATATCGTGTATAATAATATAGTCACAGTACTTATTGTATTGTATACACAATAAGTTCATATTTGTTGGATAGCTGTCCGTTATTTAGATATATTTAAACACTTCTGACTATCTAAACCTATCCGCATCCGTTATTCAGAGGCGCCCGCTATTTAGAGGAGCATTATCAATTATTTTCAACGAGACTATGCCGGGACCAAAATTTTGTCCGTTATTGAGAAGAGTCAGCTAATTAGAGGTGTCCGTTAAGAGAGGTTTC